TGAAGCCACATCCTAAGCTTCCCCCACCCCCAACTTAGGGAAAACAAAATAAAACAAAGCCAGTGTCGAATCACACAAAGCACGAGGGTGGGATGAAGCTGTCATATTCGTTTCTTTTCAAAATGTTTATTTATGTGTATGGGGTTTGCCTGTATGTATGTTTGTACACCATACATGCCAGAAGAGGGCATCAGATCCCCTGAGACTGGAGTGTGGATGCTGGAGATCAAACCTGGGTCCTTGGCAAGAGCAGTCAGTGCTCTTAACTGCTGAGCCATCTCTCCAGGCCCAGCATATTCATTCCTTAACATTGTAGTAACCAGTCTCCACAAGATTAGTGGATTAGCCGGGCGGTGGTGGCGCATGCCTTTAATCCCAGCACTTGGGAGGCAGAGCCAGGCGGATCTCTGTGAGTTCAAGGCCAGCCTGGGCTACAGAATGAGTTCCAGGAAAGGTGCAAAGCTACACAGAGAAACCCTGTCTCAAAAAAACAAAACAAAACAAAAAAAAAAGATTAGTGGGTTAAACACCACAGTGTGTCATCTTACAGGTAAACACAGGCCACATGGGGACTGCAGGTGTTTGATGGGGCTGGTTGCTTTTGGAGGCTCCGACGAGGGTCCCTTTCCTGTGTGCTTTTCTGACTTCCACGCCCCCCACCTTCCTTGGTACTTCCCTTCATCTTCACAGCCAGCGAAGGCTGGAGGGTTCCTCCCCCATCACCTTGCTCCACTTCTGACTTCTGTCTCTCTCTTCCACTTTGAAGGACCCTTATGATCCCATTGTGCCCACCTGGATAATCCTCAAGTCCTTAACGATGCCTACAAAGCCCCTTCTGCCTCGGGTGTGACAGGCGCAGGTCACAGGTTTAGGACCGGAACCTCTGCAGAGGCCGTTCTTCTGCCTCCCCAGAAGCTCAAAGACCCAGGATAAACCCGAGGCGCTTGCTTTGGGGCCTGCCATCCCGAAAGCACAACTCCTGACAGAGACTCTTCTGTCCTGCCCCTCAGCCTCAGGCGAGGTTCCTTCCTGATGGCATGTCACAGGGCTGTCCGCGCTCACTGTCACTCTTGCCACCCTCAGTGGGCAGTGAGACCTCAGAGGATTTCATCTGTTGTCTCACCAATATTTATGGAAGGTTTCACTTTCTTTGTTGTTCTTGGAGAACAGTGACCTCTTCTTTTCTTTTTTTTTTTTTTTTGGTTTTCCGAGACAGGGTTTCTCTGTGTAGCTTTAAGCCTTTCCTGGAACTCACTCTGTCACCCAGGCTGGCCTCGAACTCACAGAGATCCACCTGGCTCTGCCTCCCGAGTGCTGGATTAAAGGCGTGGGCCACTGCCGCCGCCGCCACCACCACCGCCTGGCTTGCTCCCTGTCCTTTGTCTGCTGTGTTCTAACACACTTTCTCCCCTTTTCTCGGCCAATCCGCTTGTCTGCTGTTTGTTTTTACAGACAGCTCTCAGTGTGTAGCCCAAGCTGCCTTAGAACACACTGTGTACCCCATTGTGTGCACTGGACTCTGGTTTTGTTGTTTGTTTTGATAAGGTCTCATATACTCCAGACTGGCCCTTGCCTCACTAGGCAGTCAAGGAGGATTCTGGATTTCTGATCCTCCTGCCTCCACCTGGGATTATAGGAATGTGCCACCACATTTGGCTTGCCGGCACTGAACTCGTGATCCTCCTGCCTCAGCCTCCAGAGTTCTGGGATCACAAGTGTACACTACCACCCCCACAGATCAACCAATAAACTGTTTAACATCTTTTAAAATTAGTGTTTACGAAGCATCTATGTATTTTTTAGAAAAAAATTGTATTTCATTTTCAGTTCATAACATTGAATGGTTTTTTTTAAAAATATCCATCCATAGGGCCATACATCCTTCACCACTAATTCAGAAATGTTTCCACTGCCCAAAAAGAAATCCAAAATTCATCAATCATTCTCCATTCTCTTCTCCTCAGTTCCTGGACACTATCCATCTACTTTCTTTTCTTTTCTTTTCTTTTTATTCACTTTTCTGAATATTTTGTAGAAACAGAACCCTAGGCTATGTGGGGTTTCATGTCTGCTTGCTTTTATTCCAGTGTTTTCAAGGAACATCCAGTGTTAAGGCATGTGTTGATACTTCTCTTCTTTTGATGAAGGAGTAATATTCTTTTTTTTTAAGATTTATTTATTTATTATGCATACAGCATATGTGACTGCAGGCCGGAAGAGGGCACCAGGTCTCATTACAGGTGGTTGTGAGCCACCATGTGGTTGCTGGGAATTGAACTCAGGACCTCTGGGAGAACAGTCAGTGCTCTTAACCTCTGAGCCATCTCTCCAGCCCCAGGAATAATATTCTTTTGGGTGCATAGGCCACAATTACTTATCCAGTCATCATTTGATGGAGACTTGGATTGTTCCACTTTTGATCACAACTGCCTGCAACTCCAGCTCCAGGGGATCTGATACCCTCCTTCTGGTCTCCAAGGCACCTGCACTCATATGAACATACCAACACACACACACACACACACACACACACACACACACACACACACACACAATCAACAAATCAATAAAAAACCATTTAAGTGGATTTTATTCAAAAGTTAAATGTGCTCTTTCTTTTATCTTGAAGGTAATGTACATTAATAACCTTTTGGAATTAGTTATATCTAATAAGCTTCAAGAAAGCTACCTTTCCTGTGAGTTTCTGCAAGAAGCACCCATGCCACCAGTCTAAATCCACTAAAATAAAACAAAACCCACAGCAGGCATGAGATTGCAAGCCTGTAATCCCAGCACTTCGGAGGATCAGCCTGGTCTACATAGCAAGTTCCAGGTCAACCAGAGTTAAATAGTGAGACCCAGTCTGAACAAACAAACAAACAATGGATAAACTGTTAGGTCTCACAGAAACCCTGGACAAACAGCTAACTGAAGTGTCTATCAAAGCAAACTCTGGCCAGCTCAGTACCCAGTACTCTCCTCAGTACCTGTGATACCGGCACTTCTCAATCCGCCCTACCCTAAATCCCTCCCTCCTGCCATGGGCTGCAGGAATATATTATAAGAACCCAGCTGGTTATGGTAAAGCCACTACCTGAAGAGATCAAGGAATTCCTCCAGAGGAAGCCAAACTCCAAGGAACTTTTGGTGTTATTTGGCTTGTTATATATCAGCTGTCTTCTGTTATGAAAATCATGTGTGCCTTCATAGCTTTCCCAGTTGATTTTTCCTAAGAATTGCTAACAGTGTGAACTGATCACTCTCTGGACATACACATTCCAGGTATTTGGAGAACAGCCTCAGGAAAGACTTCCTTCCCTCAGGCCCATCTGTTTCTTCTCCTTCTAGTGCTGGAATCAGATAATCTCCCTTAGCCACATTCAAGGACTAACAGGAATAACAGTCCAAACCACCACATAATAAGTCTCCTGAATTAAGGTAAATTCCACAGGAAGACACCGCCTAGGTCAGGTAGACATTAAGTAATAGCTTTACACAATTTAGCTCCGACCCTCCTTTTCTTACAGCCTTACTAACTTTATAGACCTCTAAACTCCTTACCTAACCACTTCTAGGAATATTTAGATAACCTTCTGCACTGAAAGCTATGCTCATCCAGAACCCCAGTTCAAGCCTCCCTGTAATTATCATCATTGGCAGCATCCGACCAGGTCCATCCCCAGATGGAGGAAAGTACCTTATCAGAGATTCCTCTGTACTCTCTAGAACAGACTTAAGCATCCAGACTACCTATTTGAGAAGGCCTGGCGGATGTGCCAATTAAGCTTAATGTTTTCCTTTCCAAAGTCTTATCTCTAGCTTTAGAACCACCCTTAACAATTAACTCAGAACTAAAGGGTTCCAACTCACAGGTACATCCAGCTGTGATGGAAGTTGCCTAGCCAAGTTGCCTAGCAACTGAGCACACTTGCCGGAAACCGGCAGGAGTGGAGATAGCTTGGAGAGATAAGGGCCAAAGGGATAAAAAGGCAGTTTTATTTTCAGAGAAGAACTTGATATAAGTTTCAGAGATATAAGGAGATGGAGAGGAAGAGAGGAGTGAAGAACTTGAGGATGGAGAACAGAGGGATAAGGAGGATTTTGACCAGAGAGAACGTGGGGATGAGATGGAAGATGAGGAAGAGCCAGATGGGGAAGTAGTAGCTGGGTAAGAACGAGATGAGAAGGACCCAGATGAGGCAGAACTAAGATGAGAGAATTAAGATATAACTTAGAGGGAACAGTAGCTAAAGGTAGAGAGAAATCAGACAAGAAAGGAGCTAGGCACGAGAACAGAACTGAAGCTGTGTAGACAAGATTTTATCCCAGAGGAATAAAGTACACAGACCAAGAACTCGGTGTGCTTAGATTCATTTCCCGAAAATAATTCTCGCTGTTTGTAGTTTCTCCCTTGAGCCCCTGGGAAGTATAATATTAAGGCTGGTCCTTCTAATATTATACAAGACCCTCCCAGGGCCTGGGCTCCACTTCCCTTCCCCCAGCCTCTGCTCCTTATATAACTCAGCCATTTTGGCTTGGTTCTCTTGGTCTCCAGGCACATCTTGGTCTATCTGTCACATCCCACTCTCTTCCTCTCTCGCTCTCCCCCTCCTCTGATGGCCGGGTTCAGTCTGGACCCTTCCAGATGCCTCTGACTGTTCTCTCCCTCACATCTACAATAAAACCCTCTGCTGGGCCGTACCTAGGAGGGGGGGGGGGTCATGTCATCATTTTCATTCACAAACGGAGAGGAAACCAACAGTGACTTGAGTAGATTGTATCATTCAATTTCCCGGAGACTGAAAGATCTGGTCATTCAAGCTCTAAGTTACACTGACCACACCACACCTGCCTCGTAGAGGGGACCCAGGGCAAGTCCTCCTGAGATGGCCGCCCTAACCCAGGTCTGGCCATCGTCTAGTTGTACATAGTTACAGCTGCTCTAGCTTCCTCTGAAGAAAAGTACCCTGAAAGGGAGTGACGCTTGACAAGGTACTGACCTGGCCGCGCCTCAGCTTAACTTTGATGGAAGTGTGGCAGACACGGGACTCACCCGCAGGAACCTCCGAAGGGAGGGTGGGGAGCGGAACCCTGTCCAAGAATGGAGCTGCGCCAGAGTTCTAAGTGCTTGTGAGAAGATCCCACGGACACAAGACAAAGTCTTGTGACCTCTGCTCCTTCCAAGCATGGATTTGTTCTTGGAAGGTGCTTTCATACCCCTCAGGTGCAGTAGGAGAGGGTTCACTTCAGATTGCCCATTATCTTACTTTCGTTATTCAGAAATGTTTCCAAGCACAGCCTGTCCTTAAGTTCGCATACAGCTTGAAGTCGTGTGGACTTTGCTCAAATGACCTTGCTTAACCCTCAGTATGAATTGTCTGATGCACTGAGTAAAGCTGGCCATTGCGTGAGACTTTAGTCCGCCTCACTTTTAGACTCCATTCTCCCAAGTCCCACGGCCTCCAGAGCCTTGACTGAGAAAGGAATGAGTTTTTGCTGGAGGAGGAGGAGGAATTGCCTTTACTCTTGTGGCCTGGGGTCAGCTGGGGCCTAGATTTGGGAAAGCTCTGGAGATCTTTGTAGGGATGGGACCCCTCCGATCCCTGGAGGCAACATGGCCACACTGAGCTTGGACTGGACGGGGGCCTTTTTACAACGCTTACTCCACATGACTGTGCCAAGCCTCCCACCAGGTGAAATCGGGGCCAGCCTCCTGCAGATGCACAGTCTGTACACATTTCAGGATGTTCATTTTGTGATTTTTGGTTGAAATTCTTAACGTATAGCACCTATCTGAACTACTCAAGCATTATAGTGATTTTCTAGTTGTTTTAGTTCTCATTATTCACTAACAAAATCCCCGTACCCTGAAACTATTATTCATGTATCATGAATAACCACAAAAGTGTGTTATCCAAACAGGAAGCAGTGTCTTAGCCCTTAAAGAATGAGGTGTCGACCTGTGGGGAACCAGCTCATCATATGTAAATGAGGGGCATCAGAACTATTTTTAATGTGCTGATCTTACACATATAAATACCTGTTCATATCCAGATGATCTAAAAATAAGGCTTCAAAGGAGCACAAGAATATCCAACACTTCGTTCTTCCTGGCCCTACTGGTAACTTTCTTCAATTATAAATAGCTTTGTCTTGTAAAACATATGGTTTTAAATTTAAGGATTTACCTCAGTAACATTTTAACTCACTTTAATGGTCTTAGTATTTTATTTGGCTCTTTAAATATTGTCCTATATGTTCTCATGTATTTAAATTTTTTATTTATCTTGCTATGTATTTTAATGTTACTCTGATAATTATTATTCTAGGTTATATTCAGACTTTACAGTACTTAATGACTAAAAACAAATTGTAGAACAGTCACAAAAACTCTATAAACAACATCAATTTTTTAAAAACATGTATTTATTTTTACTACTTATGTGAGAGTGCTCTGCTTACATGTATGTGTGTATCACATGCATGCCTGATGTCCAGTGAAGCCAGAAGACGGTGCTAGACCCCCTGGAACTGGAGTTATAGACTGTTGTGAGCCACAGCCTGTGGGTGCTGGGAATTAAATTTGGATCTTCTAGAAGAGCATCCAAGGCTCTTAACACTGGAGCCATGTCACCAGCCCCAACTTTGGTATTTTAAATTGCATAAAAACTTAAAACATCAGAATAATATTTGTCATAATACAGTAGAAAACAGAAGATTTTCACCCTATTTTTTCATATATTTATTGATACATGAAACAATCAACATCATTACACAGAGGGGCAGAAAGGTCTAATAACCAGCCCATGAGGGCATTGTAAAAATCAGATGAAGTTACCAAAATGATAAATGTATGATTCCAAGAGTAATAGAAGTGACCGATGGTGATCTTTAAATTCATTGGAAAATATTCCTAATAGAGATTTAATGTTTGTAGTGCACTTGAGTGACGAACTAGAAACACGCTGGGCGGTGGTGGAGCATACCTTTAATCCCAGGACTCAGGAGGCAGATACAGGTGGATCTCTGTGAGTTCAAGGTCAGCCTGGTCTACAGAGTGGGTTCCAGGACAGCCAGGGCTACACAGAGAAACCCTGTCTCAAAAAACATAAAACAAGCAAACAAACAAAAGAAATTGCATTACTCATTTTCTTTTTACATTTGCTTGTTCTCTGTGTGTATGTGTGTATGTGTGTATGTGTGTATGTGTGTATGTGTGTATGTGTGTATGTGTGTGGAGGTCAGGAGGTGGTTGTCTCCTTCCACCCAATGGGTTCCATGGATTGAACTCAAGCCTGAGGAATTAAGCCGTCTCACCAGCACAGGAGCACATACTATTCTTAAGGCATTTGAGTCAGTATCTGTGTTCCAACTGTGTAAAATCCTGTAGACTGTCCAAATCTTTTATCTGTAATTCTGTGGTTCCCACTTCAATGACTCCTGAACTGGCATCGTGCTCTGTACACAGGAAGTTTCTACATGTCTTTCCTTCTATTTTATTTTTGTGTATGTATGGGTGTTTTGCCTTCAAGTGTTCTTTGTTTCACATGCATGCCTGGTGCTCTATGAAGCTGGAAGAGGGCATCATATTCCCTGGAGCCGGCTTACAGTCTGTGATGAGCTGCTATGTGGGTGCTGGGAATCGAACCTGGGTTCTTGGCAAGAGCAGCCAATGCTCTTAGTCACAGAACCATCTCTCTAGCCTTTCCACATTCTTGAGTTAAATATTGCTCTTGAGTTGGGCATGCGCACCTGCAGTCGGAAGGCAGAAGCGGGAGGGAGGAACACGAGTTTCCGCCAGCCTGAGCTATACAGTGCGACTCACTCTCCACTAACAACAAGACTACATTTGTTTTTCTTGTAGATAAAGTTGAAAAATGAAAGTGCTGATGCTGATGGGTTTCCTTGTGCTCACAGCTCACTGTGTCCCAGTAAGTAACCTCCTAACGTCCATGTCTGCCAATGAGCTCTAGCATATATATTCCGAATTTTAGTTACACTGAGTCCTGATAAAAGGACAATAGATCACCCCAAGAGCAAAGCAGCACCTCCGTTTTAGGAGTTTCTCTGGACCTATACGTAAGTAGCTCTTCCGATCTATTTTGAAGGACCTTGCTAGGAAAACAAGAGCTGTAGCCCCCTGGGAATGGGAAGCTCTCTTCAGGGCGCAATCTTGGCTGCCGTCGGGACTCCCTTGGGAAACTTTAAAAAGTCCTGACATCTGGGTGCCACTCCCCGAAATCTGGCTTCAGCAGTCTGGGGTTTGTGCCAAGTGTGAGGAGGTTCACGAGCTCCCGGGTGGTTCTTGAGACGGCAGTCGGGCTGAGGGCCGCTGATGGAGGAAGAGGCACACGCAAGTGACTGTCCTGCCAGGGAGGGAGCCTGAGGCAGGCTGGTTCACACCGTACAGGCCAGTTCACACTGTGCAAGCCGGTTCACACCGTACAGGACAGTTCACACCGTGCAGGACAGTTCACACCGCACAGCCCGGGTTGTGACCGCAGATGAAGAAGAGAGTGACTGTCACTCAGAGTCACAGGCGTGCGCAACCTGAAACCTGCAGACCACGTGCATCTCAGGGCCTCTATGACAGCAGCCCAGCACGTTCGCAGAAGACTGTGTCAGAGGGCTCAAGCGTTGCATGGCTGGCCGTTTCTCTGTCTTCTTGATGAGCCCTCGTGGTCTTAGGAAGACTTATGACTGAGACTAACATAGGCAAGATCTAGTCAGTCATCCTGGGAACAGGTGCCTCTTGAGTATGGACATGAGGGAGGCCCATCTTGCCCTCGGCCAGGATCGCTCCCCTAACAAAAGGCAGACCCTGCTTTGAAGGAAGTCAAGTTGAATTTCCCAGTTCTTTACTATGATTATCACTATGGATGCCCTCGGTCTCCACGCTTTCTGCCTCTCCATTTTCACAGGTATCAAGATTCCCTGGCAAGATTATTCTCTGCTATCCTTTCTTAAACTGGAAGGTAAAATCCCCTCCCCTCCTCCTCCTCCTCCCTTACTCCTTCCTTTCCTCTTTAGAGAGATCGGAAATAGTTGGCACTTTCAAAAGAAGTTGTATCAAGTACAATTAGACGTTTTCCTCCCAGGTGAAATCTAAACAACTCAAGGTAAAATCGGGGAAGGACGGGGACGGGATAGCAGGGATTCTGCAGGCCGTGTCTGCTGGTTGAGAATTCCCGCTGGACAGATCTCTCCAGGGCCAGGGAAGGCAGAGAGAGAGGTGCAGGGCTTCGCCTCCTCTAGGTGGGCAACCCCCTCACAGGCAGCTTGCTTCCCTGCCTCTTTTGTAAATAAGGGGATGATACAAGCCCCGACATTCCACATAAAAAGGCCTGGTGTGGTGGCATGGGCTTGTCACCCTAGTGCTGAGGAAACAGATGTGTGGATCCCTGGGGCTCCCTGGTCAGTCATTCTAGCCTGCTTAGAGAGGTCCAAGCCAACGAGAGAGTCTGCCTCAAATGAAGTAGATGGCATTCCTGAGGAATGGCCTTTGAGGGTGTGCCCATGCCTCCACACACATGTGCACCCACCACACACACACACACACAAATAAATACATTAACAAACAGAAGTCAATTGAGTAACTAATTAGTCAGAAAGTCATAAAATGTTTTGTTTCGCATCTTTATTTTCTACCAGAGAGTGTTTTTCTCTCAGATATTCCTGTCTCACACTCTAGTTTTGTTAGATACATCTATTATGATAGTCCATTCTCTCTAAAGTTGCACATAATATGTCAGTCAGTAAAGTTCTTTCTTTCCCCCCCCCCTTTTTTTTTTTTTTTTTTTTTGCCAAGAAAGCTGACAGCATTTATTTTCAGTGGTTGTCTTCGACACAGATTTTAACTGTGGCCTCTTGATACTTCTGGTGCTTTGCATCTTCCTGAAGATGCCTGGAATATTGTCTTAGCAAGCTCAGGTTTATGCTTGGAGACAGCGGCCACCTGGCTTCTTCTTGCATAGTTTGACTAGAAGCACAGAGAGAGAAGGATGGTGCATGGGCCTGTAATCGCAGCACCCAGGGAGGCTGAGGCAGGAAGGTTGCAAGTTCAAGGTCAGCCTGGGATACCTGTGTGAATCCTAGGCCAGCTAGAGCCTGGGTTGGGGATGAGGGTCGACCTTGGCGGTAGAAGATTTTCTCACAGTGTCTCAGGCCTCAGCCCCACAGAGAGCAGAGATGAGGTGTTGTGTCCCAGCTCCCCTACACTGTCCCTGCAGTTACCATAAGTGTTTGCATTGTCACAAGTGAACAGAGCGACCTCCTCCCCATCCCCTCCTCTTCTGTGCCGTGGCCCCGAGCACTTTGTGTAACTGTTTTCTTAAACGGGCTTCCTTCAGAACATTGGAAAGCGCTACTCTAGCCTGTCCTAACAACCAGCTGAGCTGTGACTCTCCTTGTCTTGCAGCAGTGCCAGAGGCTCTGTGAATCCTTGAAACTCTGCGTAAGTTTTTATTTTCAGTTCTCTGCCGCCGTTCTAGTGCTGGGGAGGGGGGAAGCTTGGGGACCTAACGGGAAAGGCAGGGGTGAGGAGTGTCTGATGGCTCTGTCACCCCAGTGCTGACCTCTCCTGACACACCTTCTTTCTAATAAAACCCTAACCCATCATTTATGAACTACGGTATCTCAAGAACAGAAGTACTGTACCATTTCTTGAAAATGCTAAAGGCAGTTTTCAATTATGTTGTCTATCACGAAGGTTTTTTTTTTTTTTTAAAGAAAGAGAACACTTGTTTACAATTGCATAATTATAAGTTTAAAAACTATCTGTAGCTGGAGAGATGGCTCAGAGGTTGGGAGCCCTGACTGCTCTTCCAGAGGTCCTGAGTTCAATTCCTAGCACCCACATGGTGGCTCACAACCATCTATAAAGAGATCTGGCATGCAGGCAGAACACTGTATACATAACAAAAAATAAAAAATAAATCTTTAAAGCCATTTTTTTTTAAAGTTCTTCTTTGGGACCTGGAGAATTAGCTCAGTGGTTAAGAGCACTTGTCTCTGTGAGTTTGAGGCCAGCCTGGTCTACAAAGGGAGTTCCCAGACAACCAAGGCTGTTACATAGAGAAACCTTGTCTCAAATCCCCCCTCCCCCCACAAAAAAAAGCACTTGTTGCTCTTGCTGAGGATCCAGGTTCAGTTCCCAGCACCCACATAGTGGCTCACAAGTGTCTGTAACTCCAATTCCAGATTAGATGCCTTCTTCTGATCATACTCACGGAGACCAGATTTTAGACTCCAGCACCTACATAACAAGCAGGGTGTCCCCACAGACCTGTAGCCTGGGCTCTGTGGTGGAAGAAGGGAGACAGGACAATATCTTGCTGGCTTCCAGCTACACACACACACACACACACACACACACACACACACACACACACACACACACACACAAATGCAAATCCTGGGTTCTGGGAGAGAGGCAGAGAGTGGGAGAGAAGGACATCCAGTAGCCTCTTCTGACATCATGCTCACACAAAGAAATAAAATATTTAGATTTCAGTACCACACACATGAAGAAGTAAAAGCTGTTTAGAGGGGAGCAAAATGTAAAATAATATGGCCTTGTGTAGAAATCCTTCCCATCCTACATCTATCACTTAAGAGCATTATTACACAAAATAGCTCTGATTTTTTTTTTTTAAAAAGATTTATTTATTATGTATACGGTGTTCTGCCTGTGTACATGCAGAACACCAGAAGAGGGCACCCGATCTCATTACAGATGGTTGTGAGCCACCACGTGGTTGCTAGGAATTGAACTCAGGACCTCTGGAAGAGCAGTCGGTGCTCTTGACCTCTGAGCCATCTTGCCAGCCCAGCTCTGTGATTTTTATGCCTGTGTACTAGCTCTATGATTTTTTCTATGTTAATTTCTTATAAGTGCGTTTTTGCCTTGATTTTTGTTTTGTAGGGGAAACCACCAAGGAACAGAACAACTCCCACGGCCCCCTCATTTTTACCCACCAAAAAAACTAACTTTTCTCTGACTGTGAGTCCTCCAGTTCCTCTTACACCCGACAGGCGGGGAGATTCGAGATAAGTACAGTTCTTCACAGCCCAGAGAAACTTCCTACCCCCCCACGGTCTATGCTACAGCCAGATCACACTACCAGATTACAGTTCCTGTACCACAGTGTCTCCTTCCAGTATAAAGCTGCAATAAAACGCTGACATCACACTGTTGCTTACGTAATTGTGCTAGGCACTTTTTGTCAACTTGACACAAGCTACACACACCTGGGAAGAGGGCATCTCAACTGAAGAGTTACCTCCATCGGACTGGCCTATGGGAATGTTGGGGGAGGGGCGTGCTTTCTTGATTGCTAAGTGATTGTAGGAGGGGCCCAGGCACTGTGGGTGGTGCTGTAGGGACAGAGCAGCTGTAGCTGGGCTGTACAAAAAATGCTAGCTGAGCCAGTCAGGGGGAGCCAGCCAGGGGGAGCCAGCTGGGGGAGCCAGCCAGAGGGAGCCAGCTGGGGGAGCCAGCCAGAGGGAGCCAGCTGGGGGAGCCAGCCAGGAGGAGCCAGCCAGAGGGAGCCAGCCAGGGGGAGCCAGCCAGGGGGAGCAAGCCAGGAAGAAACTTTCCTCCATGGTCTCTGCCTCAGAACGATGTAACCATTGTGTTAAGATGTAAGATCTCAGCTACTGCTGCAGTGCCATGACTGCATCTGCTGCCATGATGATAGCCATGGGCTCACTCTCTGGAACAATAAGCAAGCCCTCAGTTAAATGCTTTATTTTATAGGTTGCCTTGATCACGTGTTTCATCATGGCAATGGGAAAGTACCTGAAGATAGCACTTGTTGCAGGCATCTTGGAACTGGAAGAAAGGTCTAATGACATTTGCACAGCAAGAGTGTGACCGTAGCTATCAAGCATGGTGGTGGGCTTCCACCACCCTGGTGTTCTAGCCGGTGTTTAACAATGGGCTCTGCGGTTATCTGCAGCTTTGCTGTGATATTGCTAAACATGGATCTTGAAGACATGTGAAGGAATGCATCATTAGAAAGTGTTTCTTCCATACGGAGAGAGATGGTGGGCAGAAATACCCTCAGGAGTGCAGACAGTAAAATAACAAGAATTCAATGAGTTTTTGGATACTTACTTTTTTGTTTGTTTTTTGTACTTTTTAATTCTCCATTCTGACTTGTCTGTTGCTGATGCTCGTAGCATCAACACACACACACACACACACACACACACACACACACACACACACACACACACGCACGCACGCACGCTACTTAATTCAGTCTTAACAGGCTATGTTTAAACAACCAGCTTACAAATTTTTTTAAAATGAGGGCTGAAGAGATGGCTCAGTGGTTAAGAGCACATGTTACTCTTGCAGAGGTTCTTGCAGAATGACCAACATGGCAGTTCATACCCATTTGTAACTCCAGTACCAGGGGATCTGATGGCCTCTTCTGACACCTGTGGGTGCCAGGCACACATGTGGTACACACAGATATATGCAGGCAAAATATTCACACACGTTAAACATTTAAAAATCTCAAAAAAGTTAACTATTCTAGTGCACTGTTGGGCATAAAGATTGAAGACAATGGACGCTGGTCAGCTGGGACCAGGTAATCAGCTGTGACTAAGAAGAGACCAGCATCACTGAGGCAGAATCTTCCGGGAAGTGTTTCCCCAGGTCAGCACATGGAGCCTGTGGTTCAGAGGGGCTCAAAGGTACACCCCATGCTGGCAGCCAAACTTGGTAGTGTAAGAGTCTCCCAGGTGGTACTGATTTTGAAGGAATGAAGGGGTCATGGAAAGCAGTTGATGTTTGTTACAGTGAGAAGCCAGGACAGGCCACCAGTGAAGACGAGGCCTCAGAAGCAGTGGGAACCCTAGGATTGAAGGGGCCACACAGAGAGGCTGAGGCTTGGGGCACTATGTGGCAGGTTAGAGTCCCTGAAGAGAGCCCAAGAGAGGCTATTGGTGAAGCTGCAGCCCCATTGGCATGGTGACCTGAGAATTTTTAGAGACGGCAAAGACAGAGGACAGGCAACAGCGATGGAGTCAAGCCAGCCTGGGTCTAGGAGACTGGCGGTGTGTATGCTATACATGACTTCCAAGCTTTCTGAAGGAGCACAGATCATGAATGAACCCCAGACATTAGACCCTGAGTTATTTACACTGTTGGAGTTGGGTTTTGCTTTGTTCAGACTGTGATTATGCCTTGGTTCTTCCCCCTTGAGGTAAGAAAGTGATTAACTTACTTTTGATTTTGAGAAGCCCACGGTTAAGAGATTTGTAACTTTTAAGAGATTTTAAAGTTTTAGAAAGATTGTGGCTATTTTAAAGACATTTTACAATTTTACAGAGACTTTGGATATTTTAAAGAGATTGGACTTTTTGAATGCATACATTTTTAAGGACTATGAGACTTTTAAAGTTACTTTGTTTTATACTGTAATAGTAACATGTCATCTTGGGGAAAGTTGAGAAAGGAAAGGTTCTAGTTGAATAGTGATGTGTCTGTGTCAAGTATGCTGGCTAGTTTTATGTCAACTTAATACAAACTAGAATAATTTGCAAAGGGAACCTAAATTAAGAAAATGCCCCCACTGCTGTGGAATAATCCCTTTGTATACTGTGAAGATTTGTCACTTGGATTGGTTTAATAAAAAGCTAAGCCAGGCGGCGGTGGTACACACCTTTAATCCCAGCACTCGGGAGGCAGAGCCAGGCGGATCTCTGTGAGTTCGAGGCCAATCTGGTCTACAGAGTGAGATCCAGGACATGCACCAAAGCTACACAGAGGAACCCTGTCCTGAAAAAAAAAAAAAAAACAAAAACCAAAAACCAAAACCAAAACAAACAAACAAACAAACCTGTAAATGGGGTTTGGGGATTTAGCTCAGTGGTAGAGTGCTTGCCTAGCAAGTGCAAGGCCCTGGGTTTGGTCCTCAGCTCTGAAAAAAGACAAAAAACAAACAAACAAACAAAAGCTAAATGGCCATTAGCTAAGCAGGAGGTATAGGCAGGACAGCCAGCAGACACAGAGGACACTGGGAAGAAGAAAGGTGAAGCCAGGGAGTCTCGGGAGTCACAAGGAGATACAAAGCAAGAAGATGAACTTGTCCTGAGAAAAGGTTCTGAGCTATGTGGCAGAGTGAAGTAAGAAATATGGGTTAATGTAAAATGTAAGAGTTAGCTAGTAACAAGCCTGAGCTATTGACTGAGGTAATTTGGGAGCAGATGCTGGGACACAGAGAAACTCTGCCTACACCCCACTAAACTGGCCTGTAGGCAAGCCTGTGGTATATTTTCTTGACTGATGATTGATGTGGGAAGGTCTAGCTCACTATGGGCAGTGCCATACCTGGACAGGTGTTCCTGAGTACTGTAAGAGAGGCTGAGCAAGCCACGAGGAGCAAACCTGTAACCAGGACTCCTTCATGACCTCTGCACCAGTTCCTACCAGGAAGTTCTTTCCTTGCGTTCCTGCCCTGGCTTCCCTCAGAGAAGAACTGTGATGTGGAAGTGTAAGCAAAGTAAACCCTTTCCTCTCTGAGTTGCTTACTGCCACGGTGTTATCACAGCAATAGAAAGCTAGCGAGGACAAGAGGTGAGGGACTGAGGTACTGAGGGTTAAAGAGTTTGTCTTGCTTGTGTCTGTATCACATGTGTGCAGTGCCCATGGAGGCCAGAGGATGGCATCGGATCCCCTGGGGCTGGAGTTAGATGTTCTGAATTGCCAGGTGGGTGATGGGAATTGAACCTGAGTCCTCTGGAAGAGCAGCCAGTGCTTTTAACTGCTCAGACATTTCTCCTGTGCCTCACCCACTTTTAAATACTCTATCCTTGTAGCTGCAAAAGTTTGCTTTTTTTTTTCTTGCTTGTTTTATGCAACCTTTTTGTGGGTCAAGAACATCAGGGTTAAAAAGACCCAGAAGACCCATGTCCTGTCTTAGCACAGCAACCACCTTGTCTCTCACCTTTTCTGTATTAAGGCAAGATGCTGTCTTACAGGGGAACAGACGCAGGAAATGCCAGACAGGCCAGAGTGTGACTGCAAGAACCAGAAGAGGGCCAGACGGCATGCTTTCCCACACCCGGGCATCCCACTACATGTGCACTAAATGTGTAACACATTTATTTAATAAGTTTAGAAATAAAGACCCAGAGCTGGAAAAAGACTAGCAAACCAAGTGTTCGAAACCCGTGTTGACATCCTTATGGGTGTCCTGCTTGCATTGGTAAAAGCAGTAAAATCAAAAGCAGCACATAATTATAGCAAAGCCCATTGTAGACTTTAGTTTTTAAACTAAAACTATTCACAAGTGCTTAAGGTAGAAAGGGAAAAGAATGTGTCTAGAAAAACTGGCTAATTCACTACGAAGGGAAAACACTTTTTAAGATAGACACTGTATCCACAAGAGGTGACGTGTCACATGCATTTTCATTTGGGAACCATAGAGAAGTTACTGGTAAGAGAAAGGGTCACTTCTCACCAGGAGTGCCAGCACTAACCCATAAAAAGGGGGGACAGCTTGTTAAAACAATTTGCATTATAAAACACATTTTAAGTGACACAATGGAATTTTAAGCAGCATCTTTATCGGACACTTAGCTTCTAACAGAGCAGATTTCACTAAAGCACATTTACTTCGATTAAAACAGTCTGCCCCTAGCTTCTCCCCCAGTGCCCCCAAATAGAAACTCTTCATCAATAAGAATAAAGTGGTCATTAAATGTTTCAGAAAGACTTACATTTTCACTTTCCAAAATGGCAGGAGGCAGTCAATTTAGATGAGCTTTCAGGTCCGCTCCTCGACTCTGGGTAAGACCACACAACTGTCCATTTAATACAGCAAAGCTCAGCTAACCTCCAACCCCGAGTTCCACCGGCTCAGTTCTTGGCTGCTGTCTCTCTACGCTTCCGAAAAGCTAACGCTGTGTGTGGACTGAAAGCCACCCACCTACCTACATTTCTCTGGTTCCAGGCACTCCAAACTTCCACGTCTATTTCCCTGATAAGCACACTTATGTATGAATGTATGCACTTGGATCTCAAGTTCAGCAAGTCCACAGGAAACATAACCCTTGATCACCTCCTACTCTTCTGAGCTTGAACTCTGCAAACCATACTGCCCTTTCCAGGAACTGCTCTTGACTTTTTTTTCTTCCTTTTCTATTTCCTAGATATTCACAATTTGAGTCCTATTCGCTCCAC